GTAATGTATACCTTGTAATATACGAATAAATAAAGAATTGGTGTTTATCTACTTTAAAAAAAAAAAAAAAAAAAAAAAAAAAAAAACTCTTTCCCACTCCCCTTTCTATGCTTGAAAATTTCCTTTTTAGGAAATTTTTAAGTTGTTTACTTTTCCTTCGTCTTCTTCTTTTTCTTCTCTCTATATCCCCTTCCCATAGCTCTTTATTTTCCTTCTCTTATCTTCTCCTCTCTCTTCTATATACTCTTTTTTTATTTTCACCCTTCCCTTCTTTTTTTCACTTCTCTTCCTGTTGAAGCTAGGTTTTTCTCTTTTTCTTGAAGATTTTTCTTTATAGGCCTCTCTCTCTTTTAAAAACTCGGTCTCCATAATATCACTTCTTTGGCCAGTTGACTCCCTTTTCTTAAGGACCATATTAAGAAGCGGTAATCTTTCTTAGGACAGGGGCTTTAGGAATTTTTCTCTCTTTCATGGCTCCTCAGAAAAAGAACGGATGGCTTACCCCTTTAAAAGATCGACATGGTCATCATTACCAAACCTGGCGTTGTTTACCAATTGGCAGTTAGACTAGATATGCCCAAGAAACCTCTGTACAACTATTATTATTCAAAAGTACCCAAGGAGTTGTGTCCTACAGTATCCAAAGTGAAATGACAGCCAATGTCAATACAACTAGCAATAAGCTAGATTAGTTGCAGATGTTATGCTGGTAATTGGAGAACTTAGTAGGGTAATACGTGACGATCAGGGATTCTAGTTACCCCTGCAACATGAGCTGATAATGACAACAGAAGTTTCTTGCTCACTCCTCTGACAATGTAGGTCTATTGTACAAGGTTAAGTTCTGGCGCCACTAAAAAAACCAATAAGAACTCTACCTATAGGACACTTCTGCTATACTTGAAGCATGGGTGTGCCAAATTCTTTTTGTAACTTGGAGACAAACCTGTATAAAGTGGCTGCAGTGCCTTTATGCAAAAAGGTACTCATTTTCCACCACCTCCGACACCACTCTGCTTGCCATACATCAAGCTATATTTGAAAAGCAGGCGTGTCAATTCTAATCATGACTTGGAGGCCAACCTGTATAGATTGGCTGCAGTGCTTTCATGTGATTAGGTATTCATTTAATTTCAGGTAGCTGGATGCCATTTATAACTAGATATAGATTTTTGAATTTCTTTTTGTCTATATTTCTTGAATGGTACTAAAAGAGCACAGGGGTTAAACCCTATATAGGAGTCTTGCATTAAACTCTTTCTAGCAAAGAGAGACGTATATCGTGCTATTGATTATTGTACCTTACATTGTAAGTGAAAGTATAATAAATATAATAAAGTGTGATAGCCATTTGCTCTTTTCAAAAAAATAATAATATTATTATTATTAATTATACATGTAATGAAATTGAATTTGAACATTTTTTAAAAACTGTATTACTATTAAAAGTATAGTAAATTAATTGGAAATTGTATTTAAAATCATATATATAATATTAATATAATTGCAATTTATTTATTATTTTTTAAAAAAAAATCCAAGGACAGTACTGTTATTGAAATAACAATTTGATTGTATTAAATAATTGGAATTTTGTTATAACATTGTAAAAACCATTAAATTGCAATTAAATTTTCATAATTTAGTTATAAAATTATGATGATTATATAATCAAGTGGTCAAATTTTAATCAGTTTAATAAAGTTATATATAATCATTTTTTTTTTAGTTAATATAATTTTTTTTGTATCATTATATATTTTTTTCTTTAAAAGTTATTAATTTTAATAACCTTAAAATTTTCAATTGTTTTTAATAATTTTAAACAAAAATATAACTTTATATTGCTAATATAATAATATAACTTGTGTTATTAATATATTAATGTGACATTTTTTGTAATGTTGTATAGCCTTCATATGACAAAATTATTAAATTATAGTAATATTCTTACATTTATTAATTAATTCTCAAAAGACAAATCTTCTAATATAACTTTTATATTGTTATATTATGTTTTTATGGATTAAAAATATCAGATGGTCCTTATTTATCCAGAAATCTTGTTGCACCCAACCTTATATTCAAATCTTATTTTGAAATGCTATTCAAACCTATACCAAGAGATTTAGACTCAGCCATTGACCCAATCTTTATCTTGTGTGATATTAATAAAAATAATTAATTTAATTTAAATTGTTTATAATAAATAAATCTACAAATTTTTTTTGTAAATTTTCGATCTATTTTTTATAAGATTCCTATATTCTAAATATAAATTAATGATGGTATTGTTAATACTATGAAATAAACTAATTTGTACTTTTTTTATTATATTTTAAAATATAGTTATAAATATTAAAAAAATTCTCATTTTTTTTATTAGAGACCCTTAATTTAAACGCCAAAAAACTAAATAATACCCTTGGGCACATAACGGCCCTGCCACTCTCCCTCCTTGAAACCCCAAGCTTCATAAAACCAATTCTTATAGATATCCTGCGCTTGAGTCCAATCGAGCACTTCTTCCCAAGTCTGATTCCTTTCATCCATGACCCAACATCCTTGAAAAATCTCTTTTTTTGCGATTAAACCTGGAGTTGTCGAATTCCGGATGACCCTGACCTTTGGAGAACCGTCATTGTAAAAAAATATTTTTTCGATTAATTTAAAATCATCGACATTTTTTATCCGATGAATTAATATAGATTCGTCAGGGAAGCGATGATCGTCTATATTATTAGCATCAAAAAGGATATCGTGAATAGGGTTTCCGTGAAAGTTTCGAACCGGCCAGCCGACATGGAGGAAACCAACATAGTGCACTAAATATTTATGTTCTCTAGCCATCTTGCAAATCCAGCAGCCTACCCAGTAATCTTCACTGCCCGTCACATGTGAACGAGCCCAATCAGATCTAGCGATGTCAGTGACGAGGTCGCGGGAAATGGTGTATCCCATACCTATGAAAAACACCCGCAAAAAATACTTAGTGTGTTAATGTCAATAATAGATTATTTAGAAGAACATACCCCACATAAAGACCATGCCTTCTCCTTCATTGGTCTCAGTATAATTTAGTGCTAGGCCATAAAATACATGTTTTCTCGGCAAATCTTGAATTTCGCGGTAGTAATGAATAAGGTGGATAAAACTATCGTCGTCTGTTTTCAACATATAATTGTCATTTCGCTAAACACATCAAAACAGAAAGCGTTAATGCACTTATAAAATATTCATAATAAGATAAATCTGTAATATACTTGCGTTCTCTGCAAACCATTCGAAAAACTTAAAAGTCTTTCCATCTTCCTTATTTTCTGTAATATTCAACACAACAATATCTCCGTACTTTTCCGATTCTTGCCTTATCTCATCTACATATTCGTCCTTTGGAAGCCCTAGAACGAACTTGATCGTTATAGGGGATTCCTGAACTCCAAGGTATTGTGCTAGAGCAGCGTTATTGTGCCTATACATTCCGCGCAAGTAATTCCTTATCTCGGTCTTTTCGTCAACGGTCAAAATTCCCATAAAAATTTTTATGTTTGGATCAACTCCCGGAGGAGGTTTAATATACGTATCATTCATGGGTGGTAATAGTGCTAATGATTCTTCTATGGCATTCCCGACATCAACATCGCATTTGTATGAGAAGAAATACAGAAAGCAGGATGCAAATGCAAGGTGTAGGAGTAAAACGGTAAAGAACACCTTATAACGATTATTGTAGTGTCTAAAAACCATGACTTCTTGTTTCCCAGTGCGCCTTAGATGAATTTGTCTAAAAAAAAAAAAACCCCCCCCCGAAATATTTGTTTCACAAAAACATTTATAAAACGAAGTCTGCACAAAAAAGAATATATATGTGTAATACCTCAGTAATCGTTTGAAGGAATCGATTCTCTCGTGGGCTATCTCTATGATTACTAAAAAACCTAAGAAAAACAAAATTTTATGAACTCAATCATAATTGTATATAGGAACAGGCTTTTTCAGATAAATCCGTTATCGAAATACGAAGGTGTTGTTGAAATAAAACGTACTGTATAAATGCTCAATGCGCTCTACTGTATTGTTTGTACAAATACCGTGTAACCATTTAACACAAAATATAGTATAATTATTTATATTAGTGTTTATTTATTTATTTATTTTTTTTGTAAGTAAACATTATTTCTTTATTTGATTTGTATATAACAAGGTATACATTGTGAAAAAAACAGCATCTCTTATATGTTGATACAATAAGTTAAATGTTAGCTTGCCATGTGACTAATATTGAAAAAAAAATTTCAAACAATATATCTTGTCAAATGATACCAAGTAGCCATTAATATCTACTCAGTAATTATATTAGTGTTTATTTAAATTAACATTAACTTATTGCATAGAAAATCCTTGATTTTATTTTCCCATAATTAAATATGTATTTATTGTATTTATGAAATTGAAAATATAACAGTACAAAGTCTTTATATAGAAACTAAACTAATACTTGAATATTTGTTATTAATTTTTAATTTCTAAATATAATCTTGAAAATAAATAAAGTTGTTTTTTTTTTTATTTTTATAAGAATTTAAATTTATAATTTATAATTTACTATTATAATTTATCTTAACAAAATCTGAATTGTTTTAAAATTTTAATTATTTAATATCTTCTTTAATTTTTTTTTATAAAACTAATAAAAGTTTTTATAAAAGTATTATTATTATTAATTAGAAAACTTAATTATATTGTTTTTTTTTTTAATAAGTAAATATTATTTCTTTATTTAATTTGTATATAACAATGTATATATTATAAAAGAAACAACATCTTTCATATGTTGATACAACAAGTTAAATGCTAGCTTGCTTACAATAATCATATAACTAATATTAAAAACAATATTTAAAACAATATATTTTGTCAAATGGTACTGAGCAGCTATAAATATCTACTTAGTATCAGAAGAAATAGAATTAAAATTGGTAAATAAAGTTATTAGACTATAAATACATTTAGAATAGTTAATTACTGAATTAATGGAATTGGTTAAACTATATGATTTGATATAATTCTACTTGATTCCAGTTAATTTCAATAAGAAGTGTGGTGTTGACTATAGAGCAATATGGTTTTTAAATTAAATCATATAGTAAAGTTAAGAATTCTGTTGTTGCTTTAATCCAGTTAGTAGGAATTGAGGTAGAAAAGATTTTGTTCATAACTCCATATAATAATTTAATAACTTGTTATATGTGTGAGATTAGTTTGTAATTATTGTTTAGATAGAAAGTTTGATTATTAGTTTTAATGATTTGTTTAGCTGCTTGTAATGTTTTAGAGCACTTAAAAACATGTTGAATGTCTTCAGTATAAAACTCACATCTTGGACAAAAATTGTCTAGATATTGATTAGAATATAATTGGTAAAGTATAAGACAAGTTAAAAGAGTTCTTAAAAGCAGTTTGATTTTAAAGACTATTAAAATACTGTGTTTGTTGTTATGAAGCTTTTTGATATTTTTGTTAAATTGATTGATAACTTTTAGACCATATGGTATATATATTTGTTCAAATGTTTAAATAATTGAAGAGCTTTCCAATATTATATAATCTTTGATAATGCTAAAAATTTTCTTGTACCTTTTAATATTACTACCTAGGCAGGTATTATTGATTAGAGAATTTTCAAGAAAATATAGTAGAAAATTGTTCCATTGGATAGTTCTAGTTTATATTGGTTTGGATTTAGGTTTGGTATATACAATCTCTATGGATCTTTGTTATATATATTGATTTATTTTTTGAGATAATAAGAAAAAATTGATTTTAACCATTCTTCTTAAATATTCAAATACTGATTGGAAAATTTTTTGTTGTTTTTAATTTCAATAGTGAAATGAACTGAAATTTTCTGAATAATATCAAAGATTGTCAATAGAATATTATTTGATAGCAGACAAAAATTGAGTGATTTTACTTCAATTTCATTTATAAATAGACTCTTCTTATGGGATTAGATATAATAATGTTATTGCAAACTGAGATCTTGTAGTAATAATTGAAGAGGATAATTGACAAAAATATTAATTTCTTGAAGAATGTGTTTGTTATTTAGTAGTAAGTTAACAAATTAAGTAGATAATATTTGAATCTGTTAGAAAAATTGAAAGAAATTTATAGTTAAAGATAGGTCTCTAAATTAAAAATGAGTATATAATTCAAATATCTCTTTTTTTTTTTTTTTTTTTTTTTTTTTTTTTAACGGGTGGCTTACACCTTGTTTATTAGATATTATGTAAAGAGTATGTACAAATTTATTTTATACAA